AGGTTGCAGAGTTGGGGGAAGGCAGAGTGGGTCATAGCACATATGTGGGGTAGAAAAGATAGTTGAGGGTCCTATAAGACCCCAAGGTTCTGGACTGGCTTGGTAAGGTGGAGTGTGCAACCATGGATGGTGATGCTGTCAGTGCCTAAGGTGAGGAGGCGCTGACGGGAGCCAATCAGGAGAGCCTCAGTCTTGTTGACATTCAACTGAAGAAAATTAGCTCTCAAGCATAATAATGATACTCCGCGGAAAGGAACACAATGTAAGACTAATATAAATGGGGCAGCATTATAGGTCTTTATTGAGGTACTCAATGGTATTCATCATACAGTTTAAGAAGTGCTTAGTACCGCAAACCATTATCACCTTGATACAGTGCCTCTTATCAGTTGCAACACAGTGACATTTGGCTCTACACAGACCTTAGTCTGGTAATAAGGACACCTTGGACCAATTTAGCAGATGCCATGATTTCCAGTGACCCATATAAACCAAACAACTGAAGGGTTTCTGTGCCTTTGGAGCAGGGCTTTCATGTGCATTTTGTGCTTTATTTCTTTACAATTGCTCCTTTCAGGGTGTGTGTGGAGGGGTTTACATTCTGTACCTAGAGCTTTAACTCCAGGTGCAGTATGTAACCCACCCCCTGCCCCCCCACTTATAGGAGCAGCGATATTGTGTGTGAACCGTGAAACGCATTCACATTAAATTATTCATCCGGCAGTGGCTAATTCTACATCATTCCACCAAGTGAACTACGCTTAGGAGCTCTGGGATTCAGATTCATTAACATTATACACTGAGAGTGGAAACAAAATTCTGTTCAGACTTTCAGCCCCAATAAAGTAATATCTTTATTAGAGCACCTGGATGTGAAAATGCGACTTGTTCAGTAACTTCAATTATAATCCAGCCTGATACTAACCTGATCATAATCCTATGTGTTTATTGCACATTTTATAGCAATGGAGTGTAAACAAATATAGTATGTAATAATTAAAAAGAGTTCTTGCATTTAATATAGATATCTTCATGTCAGGAGAATGTCTCAAAGCGCTTTACAGGATTTACCATAAAATGTAGTGACTGGGTATTTTGCAGACGAATGGGGCAGCCAATTTTGCACATGGCTGTGTACCACAAAGAACCATGAAGTGAATGATTATTTTCATCTGGAGGACACTGGCCAGGACACCAGGAGCAATTCCTTTGAGTTTTCAAATAGTGCATGGGATCTTTAAAACTCTGTTAGGTCATGTTAGGCAGACATGACCTCAGTTTAAAGTTTAATCTGAAGAACGACACATCTGACAATGCAGTAGGTTCCCTCAGCACCATATTGAAATGTCAGCCTAAACATGGGGTTTAAATCCATAACATTCTAACTCAGAAACTAGAGTGCAACAGAGTTTGAACATAAGTTCGATCTGACTGTTATCGCACAACTGTGCCATAACCCATAAACGAGCATACATCTCTAATCTGCTCCACATGCTGGTCTGTCAAGTAGTGTGCTCTGTCGCTACCTTTAACTCCTTGTTGTAATTCTTAACTTGTGTGAAAACAATTGTTGCAAAAATGTAAAGCAAATATAAGGAGGTGTTTATGTTGGCGGTTGCGTTCATTTCTAACATATTTCAACAATGTTTCATTTGCAACAGTACACATTGGAGAGAAGTCTGTGTCTAAAATTAGGCAACTTATTCCTTTCTTCAACAAATGTTATCATTCCTCCTTCTGTCGCTCTGAGGAGCAATTACTATATTGTAACAGGCGACTGTTATATGTATGGCGACTATTTAGCAACAAAAACATTAGAGATTTTAACTCTAGGCTTCAAAGGTAAAAGGGCTCATCCTCCCATTCTCTGCTAGCTTCGATATGTCAAGTTAAAAGGGCTCATCCTCCCATTCTCTGCTAGCTTCGACATGTCAATTTATAATGAAGGAAGTTAATGAGATCACATGTATGTGATCTCATTAACTTCCTTCATTATAAATTGAAATATCTGGCTCTTAAACTATTGGTGTGTGTAACACAATTGCAATATTGGGATATTTTCTGCCTTTACTGTTCTACGGTGTTCCTTCAGGCATGTAGCTCAGTTTTACATGTAATTAATACTCTTTGGCTTAACTAGTTATTATAATATGTCTTTCTTCTCAGCATGAAAGGCAAGGCTGCCTTGTCTAAATCTACCTTGGTTGTTATAGTCACATAACCTATATACTGACTATTACATCCACAATACCTCCATAAGGATGGTGGCAAATAAATAATTATGTTGGCCGATTTCAGCCATTTCCAACATATTCCAAAAAGTACTTTGGTGTATACGTTTTTTCACACTTAAGAGTGCCAACAAGAAACTGTTCACTGCCGTACAGACAGATGTGTGGAGAAGAAGAGACACACCCCATTAATGCTAAGGCAAAGTTACATAGTAATGGTCAGGCTGAGTTTATATTAAGATTAAAAATTACTAACATTTGTATTTAAGTCTAAAGTTACTCAAATCTAAAGTTAAATAATAATAATAATCCTTGCACTTTCTAAAAAGAGAAAAGTGTTTCTCCCAGTGTCCTAGCCAACAATCCCCCAAATACAAAAATTGGTCACTCATTCCATGGCTCTTTGTGGGACATTGCTAAATGCAACTGGCTGCCACGTTACACTCACAAATTACACTGTCAATGCATTTTATAGTATATCCTGTGAAGTATTTTGAGATGTCTCAATGATCTGGTAAGGCACTATATCAAATGTAAGGATGTTATTACCATTAGGTGAACCAGATATTATGAGGGTGAAATTATGCTCTGATATTGTAAAGCAAATAGTGATAATTCTGATACTATACTTAATGAATAGAAAGTGCATGATTTTAGTGATAACATCACATTCAGAGCCAAACTTCTAAGCACACTATATCTCTATTCTGGTCTGTCTCTTTTCTACGAACATAGATTTTCTGCAGATGTTAAATCGGTCACTGCCTTATTCAATGCACCACGTGCAGTTGTCTGACTTATTTTCACTTTACGGCCTAATTTTTACACATTCAGATGATCTGAGCTTCTCCTGCTCCACATCATCGACTTGTGAAACAATTACCCTTTTGTGGTAAGCTGTCTCCTGTTTGCGCAATCTGCAAGCTACTGGTACTGTCAGGCACCAGTAATTATTCATAGTTCATATCCTGGTTTCCGTCATTCGCAATGTTATCCAGGATATGACCGAAGTGTTCTGCACATTATAAATCACCAGTCGGTTGTCGTGTTTATAAATGGATTTGAGACACCTGTACATTCGTTACATTTTCCTCCAGGCTTTCCAAATCACAGTACTGTAGATCACCAGGTCAAGAGCCAAGGATTGTAAGCGTGTATTCATTTCAACTAATCCATCATTGTCACTTACAGCATTGCTCAGAAGCACCTATATCCTGCTTTTAACGCTTTCACTGAAAGAGAAATTATCTTTAACATTTAACAGGCTTGTATTTCCTTCAGAGCTTTCAACTTCTAAACCTGCTCCTCACCATTATGTTCCCGAATCATGTCACAAACCTCCTGTTAGATTTCATGTATACAACAGGTAGACACTGTTGTTGCTATTTCTACAAAAGAATGACAAGAATAGTGCATGATCTATTATATGTATATCTAGCTCTTGCTACATCTGACCTGGAAGTGTTAAAATTCTATCACTGGGTGCAAAGCAAGGTGATTGAATTCTATGTCATACATAGGCATCTCCTTAATCTACAGAAATTTCACATTTGACATTTTTGCACAATTTCTTTGAATAAAAATTTTTTTTTTTAGAGAACTTGGCACATTGCTTCAATTGTGTCCTACAGTAATTTTCCACTAGGCACCTATAGGAAATATATAGGTTTCCTTATTTCTTAGCATATGCATAGTTTAGAAGTTATTAAACATTTGGTGCTCTGCAGGTCAATACCCACAAATTGGGGACTATATACAGCAATCATAATGGATTGTTTAATTGGGAAAAGCTGAACTACGTTACACTGACTTGCAGGAACTTTGCCCAGACTCGCTCCACTTTTGGAGTGGATTTCCTGCAGGTCAGTGCGACATGCCTGATGCACTTCTAACTACTAGAAGGTGACCTTACCCTGATTCCATAAATAAGAAATGAGGAATCCTGGAGAGAAATTTTGCCTCAATCTAGATTTACTTAGTTTGAGCATTTCAGAATCACCAAAAAAAAGCATTTGGCAGCCTTAAATACAGCCTTAATTTTGAAATCAGTCTTCTTTCAGCGCCTTGGGACATGCTCCTGATTGTAAAAGGCGCTATACAAATGTATTTTGATGCTGTTGTTGTTCAGTCAGTTTCTTTTAAGAGTTTAAGAAAACTGATTTCAATATTAACACTGAAATCAACAATTTGCCTTTTGAACTTGAATTCAACAAGTTCTGGATGGTCTTATATGCTACATCGAGTAAATATAACCCAGGTAGAATTTCTCCTCACCCCATATTCCTTAAATAAGAATTGTGTGAGAAATTTGCGCCAAGGAGATGTCACTGTTTCAAGTATAAAAAGTACAGATTGAACCCGTGCATTCAGATTCCCATACAACATAATCTTCAGCGAGGACTGTTCTGCAAAAGTCAATATATGCCACTGTAAAAATATGTTCAGAGTCCCATGTGGGAAAAGGCTTTGTGACCTGTGATTGTTTCTGTAAACTCTAGGGAACCACTGAAGACAAGCTCTGCAGCAGCTGCTCCTAACGCAGCTCACATTCAAGCAAACCAAGACGTATGTTTATCACCAGAGTCCAATCATAACTAAAACTGACAGAGATATAACGTTTTATTACAATGGGCACATTCTGAAGCCCTTGGCAACTTGCCTTTCTCTTTATCAACACAGTGTTTGCAGACTATTCTCAAACCCTCTCCCTCCCCTCATTCCTCGAAGTTTGTTCTTATCAACCATTCACAGTAGAAACAAAGGACTCACCGCATTAAAATTCGGGAAAAGGCTGACCGCAGCAGCAGTGTCCAGTGGAAATGGAAGAAATGGTTTAACATCCAAAGCAGGCTGCATAGCTGGGACTGCCGGCCGCATTAAGGCAGAAAGAGCATTGCTTTGGCATGCGCTGCCTGCAGAGAAGAGAAATAAGTCATCGTTTACTTTGGTATGTTCATACAATGTGTTTTTTTTAGCATTTTGCGACGAGCTGAAGATGCAAGCCAACCGTTTTTTGTTCTCGGATAATAAATATTAAAAGACAACACAACAAGAAACTGTTTCAGCAACCCATTTCAGGAAAAGCGTACCATCAGGATTACAGTGCAGTTACTGACAGAAGCACAGAATGAATAATAGCACAGACAGACGCCCATTGCTGATTAATCCGTGGCACACCGAAAAAAAATATTTTGGATGGTTGTGCTCAGAGCAGCGTAACTCATTTGAGGTATACTGACAGACAAGCTGATCTCTGTTGATAAAGCTGCACAGACTGCTCCCTACCCAGGGGTGAACTGAGACCTAGAAGCAGGAACGATTCCAAATCTGTGATGATCCCCACTGAAATTAGGTTTTTTTTACACATTCTGTGGGAACAGTATGCAAATGAGCAGGAAATCACAATACATACTAATGAGCGGCAATGTGTTTACATAGAACTGCAAACCGTACATTTTGTTCGGCTCTTGCCAGAAGGCACGGTAGTATTCTCTCCGTCAGCTGCCAAGAATCGAGAAATGGTCACAGCCCTAAATAATGCAGCGGCTTCAATTCTTTTCCCAAGTATCGTCTCAGTATTAATCAAACACCGACCGAGTCCAACGTATAAGATTCAAACAATGACAAGCAAGACTGTAAAAGTTAACAACCTCCGTATCTGGGATGTAAGCAGTGAACTGTTAAAAGCTGCTGGTGATTTTCCAAGGCGTATCAAACTTGAATTGTGATGAGATATTTTTTACCACAAACACATGGCTAGAATGTGAGACAACAATTTGGCTTGCTGGCTTGCTTCATTTTGTTTTGCTTTTTGCTGGTGATTCTGATTAGCCCGAGCAGAACACAATACATGCAATGAATAAGTACCCAGGATTGCATTCAGCATCAGTGATGGCTACAAAAGTAATGCATGCTCCTCATAACATGTTTAAGGTACACATTCCCACAACATGTACAGCATATTTAAATAAAATAATCCTTGCATTTAATATACAGTAAACTGCTGATAATTTGTGTTCTGCAGGTAAATGGGGCTGTCAATTTGCACACAGTAATGTCCAACAAACAGCCATGAAGTGAGTGATCAATTGTATTTGGGGAATTCTTGGCTAGGACACCATGAGAAACTCCATTCTCTTTTTGAATAGTGCCATGGGATCTCTAATATCCATTTGAACAGGCAGACAGGAATTGAATGCAGATGGGGCCCTAGCAACTGAGGCTGGAGCTGTGTTGTGTGCAGACCAAAGTGAGGGACGTCAGTAAGGGGAATGGAACACTTTTCTCCATTTTGGGCATCTAGTTTCATTGCCCCAAGTTCGGTGTAAAATGACTAGAGGCAGAGCAAAGGTTCTTCTACTCTTTTTTTACTCTAATTTGCAATATTTCTTAATAAGAAAAATATAATTTTCAAACCACTAAACCATTGAATGGGCTGACAGATGCATTATTGAATTTCTAAAACATTATTGAATGTATCCGATGTTTCAGAAATTCAACAATCACATATTTCCTATTGAGAATCTGTTAAACCACAACGTTTCTTAACCTCTGGCTCTAAGAAATCACCTCTGCTACATGTGTATGGCATTTCTATTTGCTTTTCCACACCTGCCATTCCTGTGGCCTCCCTCAGTGTGTTGCCAGTTTTGTGTCAGGGCTGAATGATAGTTAATTTGGCGCTGTGAACTCATGTCTTTTAGCTACTGAGACAAACTTTCCAGCTAGCAAAGAGAGGAAACTTTCAACCCAGACTGGGTTGGAACTGATTCCAAGTCCCAGAGGTCAGTGGATATTGCTCTGAACCAATGAGCCTCCCAGCCCTCTATGGAAATACTGTTTAATGTTTTGATGTTCTCAAATAAAAAGTGTTAAAATAGCAGACCTACATCAAACATTGAATTCATTTCCAAGATGGTGACATTTCCAGTCAGCTGTATCCACCGTGTATATCAACAGCTGAGATGAAAGGTTGACTGACTGATCACTGGTTCTCTGACGCACCTCGTCCCAGCTTGGCTTGCCCTCACTATGATGCTTCCCACTCCTCCCTGAGGCTACTGCCTCTCTCCCCCTTTCGACACACGGTTACAGCCACTGAGCTCCGGGTTATCCTCAAAGACTAACTTCACTAATGCTACACGTTTGTTTCAAAACTCCAAAATAATCAACAATAACAATCCATGCACAAAGGAAATAAACCAAACCAAGGACCTCAGTGCTCACAGTGACTTTAGTTTAGTCTGTTTCTTTTCCCTCCTCCCAGAAGCTGGTAAGCAGGAGCGAAATAAACTGGTTACCTCCATATTACTGAACCTTAGCTCTGCTGGTAACTGCTCCAAGATGTTACCCCACATGAAGCGCACTATAAAAATGCAAGTTGTTGCTATTGGTGTTGGTACATCTCAAGTATAGGAAGCAAAGATCCCTAGGGACATGAGGAGAATCATTTGCAATCCTCTGCACACAAACAACTATAAAGTATGACATGAACATAATGTTACTTCAATTACATTATACAGAAACGTATCACAGAATTTCTCTCCACAATGCAGCTTCCTCAATAGTGAAAACCTCATGTAATGGTGTGAGGGGTGTCAGAAGCCAATATGCCAATGGGCATCATTTCTCATTGTGTTTTCAGTTTCTTACTGGTTTTCTGCTGTCTCTTCTCTAGACTCCAGATGGCATGTAACACTCACAGCCAGGAGAATGGCAGCTGCCCTGACTGGGCCTCAGTGCCACTGGTACATACCAGCCAGCAGAGAGGATGTGGGAGCAACCTGCACATAGCACGTCATTATTTTTCTTCAATCATTTCAGCAATGGACCACACAATGGGCCATAGCAAGTATCGACATGTATGTTAATAATCCTTACTTTTGGTAATAATAATAATCCTTGCATTTGATGTAGCACCTTATCACATTACCGAGATGTCTCAATGCGCTTCACAGAATATAAAGTGAAGTGACTGTATACTTTGTAGGCGAATAGCACCTTTCATGGCAGGAGGATGTCTAAATCGCTTCACAAGATATACTGTAAAGTGCAGTGACTCTGTGTTTTATGGGCAAACATGGCAGCCAATTTGCACACAGCAATGCCCCACAAACAGCCATGTTGTACCATGTTGTAAAAGCATAGATCAGAAAAGTTAAACTCTGAAGGGAGCAACTTTTATTTCAGAGGACTATCCTCCTGCTAAAAGAAGATTTGCAAAAGAATTGTTCGAGGGATCAAATCAGTCAGTGACAGGCGTGTTGGTATCCTCATCAAGCACATTGGGGGCTAACTATCGCTTTTCGTTAAATATCTGACCTTTGGCAGAGAATATATATGATCTCCATTTGCCAGTAAAATTAAACTCTGGCAGTTCAGGATTTTGCAGCCCTGATAAAATGTGTAAAAACGAACAAAAAGACTCACGAGTGGTAAAGTTTGCGGCATTTCAAAACTAATATCGGTGTTAACTATCGTCCACCAGGTGGCAGCGCAACCTTTCAGAACCCAGCGCCCGCCATATTTTTAAAATATTAATCAGACGATGTTTGTATTGTAAACCGAGGCCCAGGGTTGCCACTGTTATTTTTTGTGTAATGTTTATTTTTCTGCCGAGGGGAGGATAAATCCACACCCTCCCAGACAAAAATTATATTTTTGCTGATCAAACCCAATGCTTCAATCCAATCAGTACAAAAATAATACATAATGCTGCTGTAGTTTTGAAACACCATGATTGATTAGCTTAGAATGTTTTATTCATGAACTTGATTCAAATATAGATAATAACCTTTGATTACTCTCAGGATACTCCGCAGGATACGTCTATTAGGATTGTTTTTACTAGGTTAATGAAAAAGACATTCTACAATTTGTATTTTTGTTTGTTTTTGCACACATTTGGGAATGAAGAGTCTTTCAAAAAAGACAACCTAATAATAATAAAATAATAATCCTTACATTTGACACAGCACCTATCATATCAGGAGGCGTCTCAGAGCGCTTCACAAGATTCACCGTAAAGTGTATTTTTAGTCCCAGAGTTCAATTTCCTTTTCTTTTCAGTGCTGTGGGTTGAGAGGATTTTTTTTGGTAAGCTGGGTGTCTGACGCATGCAGAAATCATCACCATGCTTAAGAGTATCCAAACTAAACTCAGAATTCCTATAGAGATTTGAGTGCACCACAAAAAGCACTCAATCCAAAACAATTGGTCCACTGATGAAAATCTTGCTTAAAGAGCAGGATCTAATTTGTGTTATACCTTAACCAGAGTTCCTAGTAAGGAATACAAGTAGTTCAAATGGAGATTCCCAGTAATCAGAAGTGCATCACACCGACTTGTGTGAAAGCCGCTCTAATCTATTTTCAGGGCAGAGCTGAAGCAGAACAGTGCGAATTCCAAGGGAATTGCTTTAACAAGAAAATACTGCAAGTTAGTTCTCAGCATTAAAAGTACTGAAGATCAAACATGTGCAGTGTTGTCTAGGAAAGACAGCCCACACATTGCAAAATTCTCTCAGTGAACTAACCCTGTAAAATGCTGACATATCTTAAAGAAATAATCCTACAGAATGGAGTCTTGAATTTATAGATCAACCTTGCTTATTGCACAACTCTGCCTGAATACAACTGATGGAATGGTGTTTGTACTTACTACAGTTAACATCCATTCATGTTCTGACCTTGAGACAACACAACAATTGTCACAAGAATGGCATTCCTTTAGAAGACACGCCTAATAATAATCCCTCCAAAACCAAAAACAATAATAAATTGGTCATTTTCAATCTACGACTGTTTGTGGGACATTGCTGTGCGCAATTGGCTGCCGCGTTCGCCCACAAATATACAGTCAATTCACTTTACAGTGTTCTGTGAAGCGCTTTGGGACATCCTCCTGACGTGAAAAGCGCTATATCAAATGCAAGGATTATTATTATTATAAGGGATCAATAATGCAATTGAATCTCCTTCCAGCAACCAGTTTTATCCACAAAATATACAGTAAATTCACTTTACAGTATATTCTGTGAAGCTCTTTGAGATGTCTCACCAATGTGATAAGGCGCTGTATCAAATGCAAGAATTATTATTATTATTATTATTATTATTATTATTACCAGTGTCAGCCTGGCTCCGGTTGGTAGCACTCTCGTGCCTTGGATAGAAGGCTATGGATTTAAACCCACATTTGCCTACAGTCGCTTACTTGAAAGGAGCTATACCAAATGCATTTAACATCTGTTAAGTGTCTAAAAAAAATGTAGAGAAACTCTTCATTGAATAATTGACACATAGTTCCAAATGAAGAACAGGACAAATCTCTTAATGCAAGTAATAGTATCAACATGAGATAATAAAACAAAAAAATGATAAAGTAGTTGTGAAAATACAGGGGATTTAATGATTGTAAATGTTTTTTGCTTGGTGGCATCATCCAGAGTTAAATAGTCTGTGGAATGCCTCCAGAATACAGTATTATAACAGCAGATTTGAAAGGGAACTATAATTTTACTGTTGAGGGAGAAATGAGTTCCAAGGATAGCTGTGAATAGCTTGCTCTGAAAGCTCTGTTCACAATGTACAGTATTGAATGCCAGGCTAGGTTAATATTGCAGCAATTTTTTTAATAATAATCCTTGTATTTGGTCACCCTCCTTCCCCCCTGCCCTCCACCTTCCCCAATCCTGACCCCCAAGGTAAAGTGAATTGACCGTATATCTTTGTGGTGAAAGGTGGCAGCCATTTGCGCAG